TTCATCTCACCGGGGCTGGTCAGCGTGTGTTCATCTCACTGGGGCTGGTCAGCGTGTGCTCGTCTCACTGGGGCTGGTCAGCGTGTGTTCATATCACTGTGGCTAGTCACCGTGTGTTCATCTCGCTGGGGCTGGTCAGCGTGTGTTCATCTCACTGTGGCTAGTCACCGTGTGTTCATATCACTGGGGCTGGTCAGCGTGTGTTCATCTCACTGGGGCTGGTCAGCGTGTGCTCGTCTCACTGGGGCTGGTCGGGGTGCTCGCCTCTCACTTATGCAGCTGTTGCACAATAAAAGTGTACTTTTCCAGGACACAGTACAAGCACACACTGCCTCCACAGTGATGAGCATAGATCCATCAGATTGTTAGCTATTCATACTGTTCTGTTTCAGCATAGTCAGTGGAGCCCCAGTGAGTCAGGAGATCAGCCTTTAGTAAGAATTAGGACACTGAAAACAACAGTCCAAAAATCATAAATTAAACATATCCACTATTACTTTAGTTGGTTCACTTGTGCCCACTTCCAGAGCTGCACCCACACTCACCAAATATTTCAAATCAAAATCAGTTTAAATCACTTAAAAGGTAGAAAGATAAATGTAAGAAATAAGACTTTAATTTTCAGGGCTGGAGAGATGGCTCGGTGGTTAAGAACACTTGATGTTTATCCAGAGGACCCAATTTGATTCTCAGCACCCACATAGGGGCTAACAACTGTCTGTAACTCCAGTTCCAGAAAATCCAACACTCCCGTCTGAGCTTTGCAGTGATTGCAAGCACATGGTGCACATACACACATGCAGGCGAAACACTCATATACATAAAGTGAAAAAACAATAAAAAAAAATCAAAAAACTTTATTTTCATTTTTATTATTTTTAAGTTTTATTTAATTATTAGTTGCATTAGTTGGCATTAGTTGCCATTTTCATGCAATATAATTTGATAGTTTTTAGCTTCCCTCTCCTAACCACAGTAGTCCTTGCTGGACGCCATCCAATTTTATGTATGTACACATAATAAGACCTATAGAGAACAATTTGCATCCTTCAAGTGTCCTTCAGTGTTTATCCAGCCAGTGGAGCTTGTTTAACCTACCAGGAGTCCCATCTGTGAATAAGACACTCTTCCCCCATCCCAGAAGCCATGCTTGCCAGCATTTCCTTAATTGGGATTGGAGCTTCTTACCCACTTTCCCATGTCTATGCTGGGGTTCTGTCTGTGTTGCGCTCGCATGGAACTGTGCGTGCTGTCACCATTGCTTTGAGTAATTGACGAGGGATCTGAAAAACTCTGTTTCCTGTGGTCATCCACCACCTCTGGCTCTTACAAATTTCTGCCCCCTCTCTGAAATGATTCCTGAGCCTTGGGAAGAAGAAGTTTGATATTGTATTCACAAACAAACACTCTGCAGCCTCTTGTTCTCTGCACATTGGACAGTTGTAAGTTTCTGTGTTAATCACCATTTGCTGCATAAGGAAGCTTCTGGCGAAGTTGATAGATGGATTATTCCATGTGTATAACAATAAGTCATCAGGATTCAGTTTAATGTGATAACTATTTAGTAGATAACTAGTATTAGGTTCTCCCCTGTGTCCAGTGAGCTGTCTAGTCTCAGGTTCCTAAGCCTGATATCAGTGTCAGATATGGGCTTCATCTTAAGAAGTGGACCTTAAATCCAATTAAAGAGTTGTTGGTTACTACCAAATATTTGTGACAATATTGCAATGGAGGGCATATCTTGCCAGGTCAGTTGTTATTGTAGTTCACAGGATTCACACCTGGGTAGGCTTGATGATTATTTTGTTCCTTCTAGTACCATGCATAACACCTTTCAGAAATATGAACATAGGCCAGTAGAGATAAGGCTATGAAGTCAGCACCAGCTTGATTTCTCCTTGTTTGTTCTATAACTTATATATGTAGTGTGTCGAGCAATAGGATCTCACCATCAAGCTCCAGTGGGTAATAAAGAGCAGGGGCATTGGCCATTATTGTTTGAGGGTCCATGGGACCCCTTGGGCTACAGTTTCTAGGGAGGGAGTCCATTACTGGCATTGAAGATTTGGTTTCTTTGTTGTTGTTAAGTCTGTGATGTCTAGCAGGAATAATGGTGCCCTATTATAGAGTAACTCTTTTTAATCTTTTTTTAAAAGGTATATGCATATACTTTAAGAAGCTTCTATAGTGGTAGGTTTCCACATGGCTTTTTCTAAAAGTTTTTAATGTTTTTTCTCCCTCCCCATACATTTTTTTTATTTTTAAATTAGACAAGTGATTATCACAATTTATTCTCAAAACAAAAGCCCAAATATTCAGCAAATTTCACCGGTATCTATAAGACATTGATTTAACTTAACGTTTGATTAGGAATTGTTAGCTCTTAGTATAATTTCCATTGCAAATTAATGAACAATACTCATGTGATTTATGGTGTAGGATATCTCCCGTGATAGTATATGGTTATTTAAGTATTTACATTTAAAGTTACTTTACAAAAGTGTGTTAAAGACTTGCAAATTACTCATTTTGAATTAGGAAGTGTGCATTATCAAGTATATGTACGGTTGCAGCCCATTTCAACTCTGAAATGCTTGATTCTGTATTTCAGTACTCACAGTCAATCTTTCTGTTAAGCATACAATGGGAAGCGTTTTCTCCATTCTGTGAATTAAGAGGGATAATAAGACCTCATGCCTAAAATTACACCCTCAACCCTCTGCGACAGTGCCCAAGATCCTGGTTTCTTCTAGAATTGTTCTTCGAGGTGTTCTTAAGGCTTAAGCATTTTACATGGGTAACAGCATGGAGTTACAAAGGTGAAACCACCAATTGCTTCATATTACTCTGCCTAATTGTTAGCAATTGTCACATTGGAAATAAGACTCCACAGACTTGCTTTGGAGTAAGCAGTTAAAAGACACCACATTAATTTATGTTGAAACTTCAGCATCTCTGGAAGCAGCTTCTAAGCAGTTAACTGCCTGTCCCCAGCAAGCAATTCTGCTGCAGGAATGTGATCCCATTCAGCACCCTGCATTACTGTAGAGTCCAACTCTGTCTACTCTACCTTCCCAATGTACCATTTGGCCTTCATAGATGCATATTTTTCTAATCCTTTAGCTACAAAATTTTAAAATGTGGTGCGTTGACTAGAAATATATGTGTAACCAAAGTAAATATTTCCTTTTTTTTCGTTTGCTGTGCTAAGTATGAGAAAACTAAAACAAATGGAGAGTTTTCTTCTGAATTGTACAAATGCACTGAATCAAACGTGATTATGACCTTCAGAGCTATTCAGTCTTTGTTATGAACTTAGGTCCTTGTTATCACCAATGCATTTCTCTTATACTGAAAAACCACAACCCACCTCCATGGCAACTGTTTAGTTCTCAATATCTGTAGGCTGATACTGTCTTCAAACTGAGGGCAAAGAGGTGATTTGTATATTCCATTATCAATTCCAGAGTCATCACATTTCCTTGATGTGGTGTGACATTATCATGTACTCTCCCTCTCTAGTCACATCTGTTCTTGTCAGATACATTCCTTGTGCAGATATAGAGACAGTGTTTCCTTGAACAGGGTTTATCACATTACACTCTCTCTGTTTATCTGCAGCAATATTGTGTGAATCAATAGAAACAGTAAGGAACAAGTTATCTACTTCTTTGGTACATCAATATTCTAAATCAGAACTCTCAGCTGTGGCCAAAGGAGGAACACAGAACATGACCTAATATTTTTAAAGGATTGTGTCCCCCAATAATCAGGACCTCACAAAGGAAGTTATTAATTCAAAGAAGCAAACCAAGACGAAAAGGAGTGTTTCTTTCTGATTCTGGACAGAAACATTTCTAAATAATTTATAAACCTATCTCAAGGAAAGTGTCAAACATACTATGAGGTTATGTATAAAAGAAGAAACAGCAGCAACTTGCCGAGCTTCACTAAAGTTTGCTCCAAAACAGAAAGTTCTATCTCACTTATAACTTATTAATTGATAGTAAAGGCTCCAGATGGCTGGGAAATCACACATTCCTTCTTCAGTATGTCATGATACGAAGTGTCTGATTTGAAACCTGGCTTAAGGGGAATGAAATAAGCCTATGCAGAATATTGTCTATAGAATTTCATGATAATATTCCCAAGCTAATTTACCCCACAAGATTAACATTATCCTATACTTACTACTGTGCCTCAAAGCTAATTAATTAACTAATCAATATATTTAATCACATTTAATATCTGTTGAAAATTGTGTTAGAACTGATAGTTTTATTTTTTGGTAAACAGTAAAAAAAAGAGCAGCTTTGAAGCACAAGGTTTAAACTTTTAAGCATAGAGGCACATAATTTTTATAATTTTAGTTAGAAAGATAAAATCTCTTTTCTTCTTTCCTTCCTTTTCCCTTCTTATTATTCTAGAAATATCATAGATTTTAAAAAAACTGAAAATCTAAATGAGTTAATTTAAAATAAAATGATGTTGGGACATCATACAATGACAGAGCAAGAATTCCTAAATACATAAAAACCAAAAAGGTTGCAATAGAGAGAATACATGTCTTTAAATAGTATTCAGAGAATGTCATGCTAACTGTTGACCCTTTAATTGAAACTTGAGTGCAAAAGCTGTGTGATTTTCACAGGTGACATCATTTTGTAGGCAGAAAAAACTCCAAGTGGGATGACTTCAATACAGTACCAATAGAGTTGGAGAAGAAAAATAGTTTGGCTGGTATTGAGGATGGAAATGGACAGGGAAAGGTGGAGGGTGAAATTGGAAAGGAAAGTGGTATTTGATAATTAGTTCCTGGCAGTCCTTTGGGTAGTTCATATTTTATTCACAGGATTGGAAGAAGTTTTGGGGTTTTTTTTTGTTTTGTTTTTTATTTAATTCTTTGAGAGTTTCATAGACTGTTTCTGAAAAACAGCAAGAAAGTAGAATTAACTATGCTTCAGCACAAGAAATTGGGGAAGGACAATAAGATCACTTACCATTTTTGACCTTGCAGGACCTGTTGTCTGACTGCATTATGTAGCCCTCCACACAACTGCAAGCATAGGATCCATATGTATTCAAGCAGGTCTGGCTGCATGCACCATAAATGGCGCATTCATCGTGATCTGAAAAGAAAATCGATGTCATTCCTAAACAACTTTGTTCTTGGAGATTTTAATCTCTTCTTGAAGAAAACATTTTTTTAAAGGACAGATAACTTCAATGAACTACAACCATGCTAACTGAAAGTCAAATTCATTATTGCAATATTTACTAAGGTAAAAGATAATACATACTTTCAAATCATTCATCATAAAAAGGACTTACATGCATGTGTGATGAGAGGGCTAGCAATCCTTGATTTTTTTTCATTGTTTTTTTGAAACAGAGTTGCCCTTTAGCCTCAGCTGGCCCAGAACTCACTATGTAGACCAGGCTGGTCTTTGTCACCTAGAGATGTGCCAACCTCTGCCTCCATTGTGCTGGGATTAAAGGCATGCACGACCATGCATGACATCTTTTTATGATGGTGTAAAATACACTGTAATCCATATTTGTTGAAAAATTACAGTGTTTCAAACAATGATTTTTTTCACTATTTTAGCAAAGAATGAACCTAGTGAAGGGTTTCTAACCCCCCAGATTAAATAATATTTCTGAACCAAATTGTGTAAATAACCCTCACTAATTTAAAAAAGAAAAACTATCAAATATTCTGAAACCACAGACTTTATCTTTTAAGATGTTTTTATAACTCATTTTGTTACTATTATGTAGTGTATGTAAGATTTACATGAGTATACTCCCTCTATGGTGTGCATGTAGAGGTCAGAGGTCAATTATGTAGTGTGTGTAAGGTTTACATGGGTATACTCCCTCTATAGTGTGCATGTAGCAGAGGTCAATTCTGTAGTGTGTGTAAGATTTATGTGGGTACACTCCCTCTATGGTGTGTATGTAGAGGTCAGAGGTCAATTATGTAGTGTGTGTAAGATTTACGTGGGTACACTCCCTCTAAGGTGTACATGTAGCAGTCAGAGGTCCATTCTGTAGTGTTAGTTTTTTCTTTACACATTGAAGTGCTTCCAGGGATTTAACATCAGCTTTCACTACACGTGTTTTCATCTCTGAGCCATCTCACTGTTCCCACAGAATTTTGTTAATTACACTTGAGTCTCCTTTCATGAGACTTTGTCCCTTCCAGTCACTATACCTCCTTCCTCTACTGTCTGATTAAAACTTTGTAAACAGTTGATAATTGTGATTGTTAATCTTCATTGTCATCTCAAGAAGATTTGGAATCACCTAGGAGACACACTTCTTGGCTTGTTTCTGAAAGTGTTTCCAGAAATGTTTACCAGAGGAGGGATGGCCCACTTGTAATGCAAGTGATACCATCTCTGGGACTGGGATTCTGAACTGAATGAAAAGGAATAAGTCAGCTGACTCCAGCATTCATCTGGACTTCTTCATACTGGATGCAATACCACCAGCTGTCTCATGTTCACATCATGATTTCCACTGTGGATTATATCAACTGAACTGTGAGACAAAAATGAACCCTTTTTCCTTCAGCTGATTTTTTCAAATATTTTGTCATAATAGAGAATAAAGGTAATATAATACTCAGTGATTCTTGTCTGACCAGGCAAATTAAAAGGCATCCTATGGGTAATTATCCAGACGAATATATATTCATTCCATTCAGCATACCGACTTCGATCTTAATCCATGAAGAAAACTAACGTGGTGAAGTGTGCATCCTACCCCTGGGCAAGTGTAGGAGGATACTGTTATAGTCCTTTGTATTTCTCATAATAAATCATAGTCTGGTTGTGGTGAAACAAAGAGAGGTAAGTGAGCTGCCTTGGGACTGGAAGCTTAAGATAAGTGAAAACTGCATAATTATCTGCATTTAAAGATTGATCTGATTTCCTTAGTCCAACAGGAAACATACATCCGTTAAAAAAAAAAGAAGTACATAGATGACATGAGGTGATTTTAAGGTTTCACATGTAATAAGTCAGGTAAAGCAAGGATATACAAGCAGTGAGAGTAAGTTTGTAAAGGAAGGCTGTGGACCTCATAAGATGGTAATATATAGACTAATCTAGAACACTGTCTATATTACACATAACATTTGGAAAGTATTAATTAGAAATGAGACTTTACCATGATCTTTGTGTTCTAAAACTAAAAAAAATTAGATGAAAAGGTGATTTGGTGAATCTAAAATGAGAATGTAAAGTAGATAATTTCACATTGAATTCAGAAAAAAATATGTTTAAAACTCATTATATTTTTATTTTTGTTATTGTTGTTTAAGACAGTCTCAAGATTCGCCCTTCCATCTCCGCTGCTGTTCTCTGCTCCTGGTTTGGGCCCTGTGCCATTCCTGGTCTTGGGTCCCCAGACACCTAGGGAACTGGTGCTGCTTCCTGATCCTTTCCGCCCAGCCCAGCTTGGTGCCTTCCTTGGGCTCCTGGAGCACTGCCTCTGGACCTGGCCCCGCCCTCACCTCTCCCTGCTTCCCTGGACCTCCACCACCGGCTAACTCTCCTGGCCTGCTCTCCTGACCTCAGGCCTTTCTTGGGGTAAGTCTATGGCACAGCGCTCCACGCCTTGACTCCCCAAGCCACGTTCGCACTTCCATCTTCCGCAGCCCTCCACACCTTGACTCCGCCAGCCGCGCTCACCCTTCCATCTCCCACGCTGTTATCTACTCCTAGCTTGGGCCCTGTGCCATTCCTAGTCTTGGGGCCCCAGACACCTGGGGAGCCACTGCTGATTCCTGACCCTGTTCACCCCTACAGGCTTGGTGCCTTCCTTGGGCCCCAGGAGCACTGCCTCTAGACCCTGCCCCGCCCCCACCTCTCTCTGTTTTCTGATCCTGTAACACCCACCAGACTCTTTCTGGGGATGACAGCCTCTTTCTGGGGCTCCGAGGCTTACCTTGCCTCTCCCTGATCCTTTGCATCCAGTACAACCCATCTACTCAATCCACTCCCTGGGAAATCTTGGGGCTTATTCCCACCCCATCAGCCTTTGCATCCCAGCGTGGCACGGCCACGGCCAGGGTCTCAGGTCAGTCCAACACCCAAGTTCCTGAGGCCAAAATCATTCTTACAAGATATCAGACCTAAAAAGAAAGTCTGAAAACTTCTGACCCACATTGGAATTGGGCCACCGCGGAACTCCTGAAGACAAAATC